AATATATCTCTTTACCTTGGTTGTTTTCTCTGAGGGACATTTGACCTCCCCCACTAACTGCCTAAAGAATTTGACATGGTGGCTCCTTCCTGGAACAGATCTTCTATCATGATGGCTATAAAGATAACGTAGAATAGAGGTTACAATAGGAAAGGCACCAAGCCCCTTTTATCAAAAACTCTGTCTCTCCCTGACCACATTATCTATAGATGACCCTGAAAAGAATTGTCTTCCTGCCCTCTGAAGTCCCAGACCACTACCCACCCCCAACACGCTCCTCACCTTTAGCTGCAATACTTAAGCAAGCAGCTTAGACAGAGGGACGAGTTGCTCATTTCTGAGTTTCTCCCATGTATACATGTTATTAAACTTGGTATTATTTTCTCCTGCTAATCTGTCTTGTTGATTATTTGGCCAGCCAGAAGAACCTTAAGGAAAAGGGCAGAGGGAGATTCTCCCTCTCTCCCAACAGAACCACTTGTCCACTTCAGGCCAGTTGAGACCACCAACCTATCAACTGGGCCCATGCAGACATATGTCCCATAAGCGACCTTTTGACATTAAGAAGTGAAAACTGCACCCTCAGGGCATGCTAATGCTGTCATTCTGTGAACATGCCTCCTACGAAGAGGCATGAAGCCTGACTACACTTGTGCAGATCATCAGTTACCTCATCTCCCCTCACCTCCAATCATTTCAGACCACCTTGCCCCCTACCCCATAAATATCCCTGAGTCCCTATTTTCGGGGAAGTCCATTTGAGATTCATTCTCCCGTTTCCTCACTTGGCTGCTTGTGATTAATAAACCCTCTCTCTCTGCTGCAATCTAGTTGTCTCGGTGTTTGGCTTTCAGTGCTGGGGGGCAAAAACGGACCTGGTGCAGTAACACTCTCTTATACTAAGATCAAAGTGGACGGAGGTTTGAAGAAAATCCTCTCAACATACGGCTGCTGAATTCAAGGCTTGTCACATTAGTTTCTACTTTTAGTCTTGGTCACATACCTGTCCCTGTGCAGCCAGCACTGGTTCTGTGCCCGGCGCTGGGCTAAAGCTTCACAGCACCATCCCAGGGAATTCGGACGGTGCCTTAGTCACTGTTGCCACCCCTCCTTTTAGAGGAAGAAACTGAAGCTCAGAGGGGCAGCTTTCCTTGTTCAGTGACACACGGTGACTAAAGTCAGAACAGATGGTCGAAACTGGGCTGCCCGCCTCCTGAAGCCCTTGTGCTGGTTCCCACTGCAGCGGCCACAGTGCATCCTTCCAGTGGCATCAGCAAAGGCTTGTCCTGGCTGGCTAGGTGGTCTGGAGCCCCAAGCCTAGTCCCTATCTTAGATTTGGGTGGCGAAAGGGGTAAACAATTGTCAGCCACAGTTTTCTCATCAGTAAAAATTACTTGAAGTGTGTTTAGCTGAAAATCCACAAAGAGTGAAAACACTTAAAATTATCTGGAAAGAAAACTTATGTCCACACATAAAACCTACAGATGTTTATAGCAGCTTTCTTCATAACTGCTAAAACTTGGAAGCAACTGAGATGTCCTGCAGTAGTTCAATGGATAAATAAACTGTGGTATACCCAGACAATGAAATATTATCTAGTGCTAATAAGAAATGAGCGACCAAGCCACAGAAAGACATGGAGGAACTTTCAATGCATGTTACTAAGTGAAAGAAGGGAATTTGTAAAGGCTACATGATGTGTGATTCCAACTACATGACATTCTGGAAAAAGCAAAACTATGGAGACAGTAAAAAAAAATCAGTGGCTGCCTGGAGTTAGGGGGAGAGAGGGATGAAGAGGTGGAGCACAGAGGATTTTTAGGGCAATGAAACTATTCTATGTGGTACTACATGATGGATACATACATTTGTCCAAACCCACAGAATGTACAACACCAGGAGTGAATTCTAGTGTAAACGATGGATTCTGGTGACAATGATGTGTCGATGTCGGTTCATCAGTTGTAACAAACGTACCACTCTGGTGGCGATGTTGATAACCGGAGGAGGGTATGGGTAGGGGGCAGAGGCATATGGGAACTCTGTACTTTCTGCTCAGTTTGGCTGTGAACCTAAAACTGCTCTAAAACATAAAGTCTATTAACTAAAATTAAAAAACAAACTTCTGAACAATAGGAGGCTCACAATCAAGCCTAGGGCCAAAGGAAGCATCTGTCTGACCCAGAAAAATACATCAGGTTCCACTCACTCCTAATGCTTCCAGCAGCAGCCCCATTCTGCTTCCCCTGGTCCAGGATGCAGATCTAAGACAGATGTTTTAGGCAAAGGCGAGAGGAGAGAGTTCTTTTGAGAAGAACTTGCCAAAGGATGGGACTCTCCCAGCAGGTTCAAGCCTGCAGAGTCAACACTGAAATAAAAATCAAAAACCCAATTGCAATTGCTAGGAGTGGCGGCTGGTTCCCTCGTGGCTCCCACGTGGCTCCAAGCCCCGCTCCTTGCAGCCTGCCCTGCCAGTGCTTCTCGCCCCATCGTTTTCCCATGATGGAAACACGTGTTCTGATGGAAGACGATGTGCTCTTGACTAGTGAGGCCTGGGGGCAGTGTGCCTTGGGCCCGTGTTGCACCACATGGCAATCCAGGCAGGCCTCCTTCGTGTGTGTTTCTACACCCTGGGAGCAGACCTCTCTCCTGTGGCCGTGACCTGTCCTGTGACAAAATCCCTCGGGGCCCAGGTGGGATGGAGGAGGCTTTTGATGCCCAGAGCTCCCTCTTCTCCACGAAGCCGCCGTCCATCTGCCCCCAGGTGCGCCTGCCTGGCTGAAGTGCTCTTTTCCCTCCATGTGTTCCCTCCGCCAAGCCTGCTTAGCTGTGTTGCGCTACTAGGTCTGGGGCCTCCTGGTCCCTGGTTTCCGCTCACGCAGGGCCCCCTCCTCCCACTGGTTCGTTTTATAACCTCCTCTTTATCCGTGAAGCTGGAATATTGCATCTGAGCTCCAGCACACTTAAACTGTGTACTCCTGGGCTAGGAAAGAAGGAAAGTCCCCTTCAACACTGTGGCTGTGATGATGGTGGTGTCTCCACTAGGGGGTGAACTGACCTCACGAAACTCCGGGGAGGTGTCAGGGGACATGGATGTAAAAGGGAAGGAAGCCTGGAGGAAGCAACCGAGAGAGGACAGAGGATGAACCTGTGAGCCCACGGCAGATGTGGCAGGTGTCAGACCTGGGGAGCGGCTCTGAGCCCACAGCCTCTGTCTCCCATGTCCCTTCTACGCTCCGGACACCAGCCCCTTCTCTTACAGGGACACACCGACCCCGTTCACTTGCTTCCTTGTTTATTGCTTGTTTGTCCCGCTAAAATATAAGCCCTGTGTGAGTAGAGACCTTACGCACAGACTCTCCAGCACCGCGTACAAAGCGGAGCAGGTCGCAGAAAACAAACAGTGGAGAAATGGATGAAAAGTGAGTGGCTGTAGAGAAATGTCTGTAGTACTCTCAGGTATTTGCAGGAAGCTTCCTGCGGCCTCTGGCTTCCTGCACTTTGAAATTTGGGACTATTTTAAGACCTAAGGGGTGAGGCAGCACCACTTAGGACTGGGAGCATCTCTTTGATCTTTAATTTGGGTGACTTCTTTCCTCTCCTGCTGTTTTATCTTCTCCGGTCATAGCTCTCTTTATTGCTGAGCATTTCTCCCATTTTTGAAGATTCGCAGGATTAGTCTCCCCGTGGCACTGGGCTGGGATCTGGTTTAAACCACTGTGTATTTGTTCAGAGGACACATCTGGTCTGATCCCCTTCACTGTGGATTCCTGACCCCACAGACCCACTTCGAGCGGAGCCTGGGAACCTGCCTGCTAACAGGCATGCTAGCTGAGCGCCCCGGCCTGGGGAGATCAGATCTGCTTCCCTCTCACAGTGGGCCCATTCCTCCCAGCAAGAAATGCTGGGAACCAAGGCGATAAGTCAGGTTTATCCAGGGTAGCAAATTGTCAGGCTGAGAACGTTGATTTACAGCCACTATTTCTGCCTTCCTCTGTTCCCACACCCCCTCCAGGCCCAGGACTCTCCCATCACCAAGGTTTTCTCAGGCTCGGATGCGAGTCACTGACTCCTTTCAGGGCTGGTGAGCAGGCGATTCACCCTCCCTGGACCCCTTGAGCTCTCCTTGTTACTAAAGGTTGAGGATGCTGGGGTTCCAGGCAATGGACTTGGGGAGAGATGAGGGCAGTGAGGAGGAGGGGCCGTTAAGCATGAAGGTTCCAGGCCAGAGTGAGGCAGAGGGGGGCGCTGAGCCAAACTGGGTCAGAATCCACTTGCTGCTGGGTACACAGCCTGGAGAGTGCATTTTAGCCAATATCCTGGGTGATCCTGGAAAAGTTATTCAATCAGCTGGGGCCTCAATTTGTTCCTGTCTTTTCCTCTCAGTAGAGCAAACATCCATCTTCCAACTAACCAGATTTAACAGTTGTTCACACTTTGCTATATTTGCAAAATTTTTAATAAATAAAAAAGAAATGTGCTACAAATATATCTGAACTTCCCTTTGACCACTTTTACCCAATCCCTTTCTTCCTGCCTCTTCACCCCAGTTGTTATTAATCTGATGTGTCATTTTTTCATACATCTATATATTACATATAAAACTGGGGCATTATGTATTGGTTTATGGGGGCTTTAAGAATTTCATTAATGATATCTTAGTGAGTGTTATTCTATAACTTTGTTTTTACTCAAGTTTGTTTTTTGAGATCTATCCTGTTGATATATGTATGTATACATACGTATTTATATTTTGCTCCATTTTAGTAACCCATCATATCAATATGCCACAGTTAATTTTCCTGTTTCCTGAATGATGGACCTTTTCGGTTTGGGGTTCAGTGTCTCGATCTGTCAAGTAGGAATCACCCTTCTCACACGTTGTGGAGCTGTGTGAGGGGCCACAGGTGAAGGTACCCCACAGGGCTATTGACCACAGAACCTTCTCGAGACCTACCACAGGGAGTGGCTTTCCAGCGCCAGGATGAGTGCTGTTGCAGGACACGCTGTGTCCAGTGTCTTCCCCAATGTCCAGCGATGGCAGCCTTTCTGGTTGGCCGCATAAAAGGAGGGCTTTTTACCCAGTGAATAGGGTCAGCCCTGGGGGTTCCACTTTAATATGGAAGAAATTTTAGTAGTCATCTAACCCCGTTTCCTCCAC